CGACAAATATTGTCGAGATATGCTAATGCAATCTCGTCAGCATCATTTACCAAGAATGAGATATCATATTACATTTCATGATCAATCTCCCTTCATAGAATTGCATCATAATGTAATAAAATGTTAACAAGGTATCTATAATTTGGAAGAAAGTTGAAAAGATTGATTTTTTTTTTTTTTTAAAGCCCAAACAGAGTGCAAACAACCCCAAGAAGATTACTATTATTAATACAAAATATATAAATAAGAAAATAAAGGGACAAACCAAATTAACCAATAGAACAGTTGCAATTAATTTAAAAAATTATCAATAATCGATTTAGGGCTAAATCAAGATTCGTAAATTATCCTTTAATTAGAGCAAAGATCAAAAGCAGAGCAAGATCGAAGCAGAGTAAGAACTCACGTGTAAGACCCATTAGCCAGCTCGATCAACGCGCGGACGGCCAACCCCCGCCGCGCCGCCGACTCAGATCCGGCCATGGCCACCAGCGGCGGAATCACTCCGAGCTCCGCCATGCGCCGCCCCAACCCCTGCTCCGCCGCCAGCCTCGCAATCTCCGCCGCCGCCGCCTCCCTTTCCTCCCAGCTCCCGAAATGGATCATCTTCACGGACTTCCGCATCGCCGGAGCCCAATCACCGCCGTGCCCCTGCGGAACTGCTCCCATGCCCTCCTCCCCTGTTTTATTGTTATTTTCTTCCTGATCAGCCGTGACCACCTCCGGCGCCGCCGGTTTTTGCTGCCTTTTAGCGGCGGCCTTTGAGCGTACGAGCCATCGCATGTGGGAAAATAGTCTTAGAGTGAGAAACAAGTAATTGGGTTGAGATTTATTGGGCTTTGGTGCCTTTTGAACGGACATAATTTTTAATTTTTAAGGAAATTCAGACCAAACTCTTTTGCTGCCTAACCTTAACCTTTTTAGGCTGAAAAAGAAAGTGGAGTATCACAGAAAAAGGAGAAGGTGACTTTGTAAGAAAAATACAAAGGGAGACGATGGCACATGCAGCTTAACAAATCTGTCTGCTTTCATGGGGTTTCAACTGTCACAGATTTTTTATTTTTAATATTTTTTTCTTGCTTCATGTTTCATGAACCGAATCATTAAAATATTAATAAGGTTCTACGTTACGGAACCATTTCGTCTGGGTTTGTAACCATTAGATCAACTATCCCCGACCATAATGACCTAACGGTTACAAATCCCAACAGAATGATTCCGTAATGGGACTATAGCATTTTCCTATTAATAATTTGTGTAGTTTATATCATCATTAGTAACTCACATGCTACATTACATAAGGTATACTGATTAATATGACTCCGACGATCTCAGATGTATCCATGGTGACTCATTATTTCGATGCATCATTTCTTTGGACAGAAGAGTCAAAGGTGTCGACATCTTCTTGCTTGGGGTTGGTATGCCAGCTATATCCAATAACCGTAGGAAAGGCAAACCCACAACAATGCCCACGCGGCATTGCTCCGTCGGGCTTTCGCCCATTGCGGAAAATTCCCCACTGCTGCCTCCCGCAGGAGTCTGGGCCGTGTCTCAGTCCTAGTGTGGCTGATCATCCTCTCGGACCAGCTACTGATCATGGCCTTGGTAAGCTATTGCGGTTTTGTTTCATCCCAAGACTTCTTTCTGTCGGTTCTAGATTTTTGAGTAAATGTAAAAAACAAAATTAAAATATGATATATTTATAATCATAAAATTAATTTTATATAATTGTTAATTTTATTTTTAATTATGTATATTCCATGTAAAAAATCAAAATTTACTTTTATTATCTTAGTTGTTCGTGTAATCAGCTTATTAGGCATTATTAACTTTACAGCTGCTTGCATCGCTTAGGCGTCGTGCAGCCGTCTAGACGATGCCTAGTTGTTTGAACTAAGGCCGCAAACAAGCCAAGCCGAATAGAACATTGGACTTATCGAACAAGACTTTTTTTTACCTGCTTGAGCTCGTCAAGCTCGATTTATGGCGCTCGAGATCACTAGAGAAAACAAGACAATCGCTCGAGATCGATTGATATCAAAATGCTCGAAATATTACTTGAGCTCGGCTCGAGTTTGACTCAAATTTCAAGTAAAATTACCATTAAGTACATATATAAAATACTGTAAATTTATATATGAGGTGTATTTCAGTAATATCTCGAAATCTATGATCGAGATCAGCTCGATAACATATTCAAGCTTGACTCGAGTTCGGTCAAACTTGAGCTTGAGCCGAGCTCTGACTCGAGCCGCTCGATTCGTTACAGTCCTAGTTCGAACACATAGAAGAACTGTGCCGCTCGGTTCATTTGCAGTCCTAATTCTAACACTTAGAAGAACTGGTACCATCTATTTAAATAAATTTTTTTCAGTAATTTAAATCTCCAGCATAATTAGCAATTTGATTCGGCCACCTGCCAGCGTCCTGTGACACGATACTTTTCATGACTGATTCACATTAATTTAAATTACCTTGAAATGTATGGTTTCCATTAATGAACTAAAGCTTTTTTTTTTTAATTATAGTTCCTAAATTAAATGTCATTTAGTTTATCACAACGTGTGGGTAGATACCGGTCCGGTTTTCCACTCTACAGCTAGCTAATATCGACATGGATTATTCTGCATTGTGTTTTTTTTTTTT